AAGAGTAAATAAAATCCAAAAGGTGTAATAGGTGCTGTGAACGGGGAAGAACCTGGTCAGGAGGAGGAAGCCCCTGGGTCAGGGGGCGGGAGAGAGGCAACGTGGTTGCGCGAATCCCGAGGACCCCGCGAGCACGGTGCTGCCCATTTCTAGTGGCCTATGAAAGGCATGGCGAATGCTTAATTTTTTCTTCTTTTTAATTTTTTGACCAATTTTGCATGCTTATATCTGGTAATCTGAAGAATGAAGTAGAAGACAATAATACGCACTGTAACAACCATTGTTGAGTTCCTGTCATCTTGTTTAGTGAAATTCTCTGTATCATTTCTAATGGTTCTTTTTAAATTATTTTTATTCTCTTAAAAATATTGCTCTGCAGAAAGAAAGGGTGCAGGTACCCACATCTCTTAGAGATAAAAGAAGTGGGGCCACCGTGGAAAGTGTCGGGGTGGAAGCCACAAGGCTCAGCTAATATGAGTCCAAAACTAAAGCTTAGATACACGCGAAGAAATGTGACAGTGAGAAACGCAGACTCGAACGTTAGTCTGTTCCAAACATTTCATAGGGGCTCTTGCCTGACTTCCTGTTTATCCTGCACCCGTTCATATCATGGACACTTGATGTCAGCGATATAAAAAGAAGGCTGGCTTAGGTAATGGGCTTCCCGCAGCAAGCCTCGGCCGCACCTGGCCCACTTACGGTCCTGTTTGCATAGGTAGTGACTGCATGTGTCACGGGAGTTGGTACTGTGTGCAAGTCTGGCCGAGCGCGTGAGGACACAGAGGGCACCGTGCTTGAACAGCGGGGGTGTGGTGCGTCCACCCAGAGCCAAGCGTAGGGCTGTTTCTAGTCGGCACTTAGGAAATGTTGTCTGTACCTCCTCCCGTGACATGACCTGCGTTGATCTATATGCACGTGTATAGGAATTACGTGGAGATGTGCGCTATGAGTACCTGTGTGTATGTACTGTCACTGTTTTATATGGGTTACTATTTGCAGATATATTGATACATACAAGCAGAGTTTAAAACTTCTGGCTTTTATAAGCAAAACTCCAACCTCAAAAAATTCCTCTTCAAAATGGAACAAGATCTTCATTTCCTGGCTGATGAACAGATTCTAGGGGTGGTCACCATCTTTATTCGCTAGCACTTGCAGTGCATCCCAGCTGCTAAGTGCAGGTAAAAAAATGGCCTTGAGATTTGTCCCCACCACAGGAGCATGGTGGTTTATCTGTGAAGAGGTTGGAAAAGGAGACGCTTGTCCCTCTTTTAATGTTTATGAAGACTAACAATGCTAAGTATTTTTCTTGGTTCTCTAAAATTTCTTGTTACTTGTTTACTAAGACTCCAAGAAATACAGTAATAGGTTTCTCTTTCCACTTGGACTTTCTTTTTGATGCAAAGACATTTTATTCTTAGTCATGTTCCCCTGGGCATTTGGGATGGAGCCCAGAACCTTTGCAATGAGCTATATTCCTGGCCTATTTTATTTACTTACTTATTTACTTATTTTGTACTTTAGGGAAGGGTCTACAGGGTATTGAGGATCTCACTGCTAAATCGGACTTATAGTGATCCACCTGTTTACATCCTCCCAAGAGCTGGGATTACAGGTGCACGCCACCACGCCCAGTCTTAATTGCTATCTCAGCACAACCTGGAGGTGGGGCGAGCACGGCAGGCCTGGGGATTGAACCCTGGCCCCTGTGCCTGCTTGCAGGCACTTTAATCCACTGAACTATTTGGCCAGCCCTCTGGCCTGTTTTTAAAGCTTATTTTCAGGCAGGGTCAGGGTCTCTCGAAGTCACTAAATTGCCCAGGCTGGTCTTGAACTTGCAATCCCCTCCCTCAGTCTCCCAGGATCTTGGGACCACAGGTACATGCCACCTCTCCCAGCTAGAATGTTTGCCATTATTAACAGGAACTTTGAGCCCCTGTGGCTCTGTCCTCCCTGGAGTCCACACAGTCACCAGGCTCCGAGCAGAGGCAGTGGCGTGCTACCGCCGCCGCCCTCTGTGTCAGCAGCAGGCCATGCCAGCCGCTGTACATCTTCTCCCTGCCCCTCCATTCCAGTCAAGTTTTGCTAAAGAGTAGCTCTTAAAATTATTTTTTCATGAATATATTTCTAGGAATGATGAAATAATGTGGATCTTAATTTGGTAAAACTTTATTTGGGGGGAATATTTATTGAATGACACAGGCTAGAAACTGGCAAGAACAGATATCAATAAACATCAGGTCTAAATTCAGAAAGAATTTCTGGGATAATATAATGAAGGCCACCCAAGTCCCGCTGTGTACCAGGCACTGTGCTGGTGTTTATTCCCCATAAGCATCTTGTAAGGTGGGTCTCATTACCCATCTCGTGGGCTAGGAGCCTACGTCCATGGACGTGAAGTTGGGCGGTAAGGGCTAGCCATTCCCAGCCCCAGCAGACCCAGTGAATCCTTTCTTACAGTCTAACTTGTAATGACTCATTTTGTGCTGAATCAAAATAGCATGTATCTGTGTCTATGTCCATCTCTCTCTCTCTCTCTCTCT